GAGCAGTGCAAGCCTATCTGAACTTTGGGTTTCAGGGCTATGGTTTAGGGTTAAGGGTTGAGGGTTTAAGGCTTATGGCTTACGGTTAAGGACAGCACAGGATCCACGTCCACAGCGCCCTACATCCCACATGGCTGAAATCCGAAATCGCAAGCCCTAAACCCTAAACCTTAAACCCTAAACCCTAAACCCTAAATCCCAAACCTCAGACCTTAACCCCTAAATCCCAAACCCCAAGCCGGGGCTTGGGTTCGCGATTCTGGGGGTTAGTGTACTTACAGGATCGTGACTGGTTTTAGAGGGTTTGTAGGGTCGAAGCCTTAGAGTGTAATGTAGGGGCCCAAATAGTTACCAATACTATTTAGGGTTTAGGGTTTTGGGTTTTGGGGGTTCCTTATTATAACTATGGTATAATTTGCCCGCCCAAAACCCAATTCTAATTATTCGGGCTCCTACATTGAGTTTCAGGGTTGCGGGTGTCTGGTTTACGGTTTCGGCGGTTAGGGTTCGGTTTGGCGCAATGGGGGTTTCGGTCCTCTCTCGTCTTTGTCTTGTCCACCTCTTCCCCAAGACCCACGCCCTCCACCCAACAGCTTTAAACCCGACTCTTCTGAAGTGGGAAACGCGAAAACATGCATAAAGGCTGAGGATGTCGTTGTAGTCCCGATACGTATTGTAGTACTAAACCCTAAACCCTAAACCTGTATTGTCCCCAACGCGTTTTTTTCTCTTTACCCAAACTCGTAGAGTACAAGCATAGGGCCTGAAAGCCGTAACCCGGCGGAGCTCGATTTATGGACCCGAAAGGTTCGGAAGGCAAGATGAGGGTTCAGGGTTTAGGGTTTAGGGTTTAGGGTTTATAAGGGTTTAGGATTTAGGGTTTAGGGTTTAGGGTTTAGGGTTTAGGCTTGAAGGGTTTAAAGTTTAGACCTTGCGCTGCGGGGGTTTGGTTCGTATTCCCTTCTCTTTGGGTAGCACAGGGCTCTGCCGAGCAGCAATATCACCCAAACACAAAACCCTACAGTGCTTGAGCGGCGAGGGCACTGAGCCCGAACCGTGGCCTCTTCGACACCTGGCCTCTTCAGGCTGCCGAGTTTTGTGGTGTTTTAGGGTTTATGGGCCGTAAAGAGCTTTCGGCTTTTCGTCTTTCGGGTTTGTCTGCTTCTGTTTACAGTTCAATATACAAATTAGGGTTTTGTCAGCCGGTTGAAAGGAGTAGAGATATCATACCTAGGCTTAGGGTTGTCTGAACTGGCTTAACAAGAGTTCTGTACAAGAGCTTGATGTCGGTTTTGAATGTGGCTTTATCAGACCCTCATATGGGGCTTAATATCTGGACCTTAGTTAGAACAGGGTTTTGGGGTAGAGTATAGTAAACTGGAACATGGAGGGATGCGACGTGTCATTATTCAGACTCCCATGTTGCTTTACTTAGCGGCCCCTGAATGAAGGATCTTCCTCCTATCATGAGTAACATCACTCTTGCTATGATTAATCGAAAAAATCTTAGTGTTAGTATTGTTCAGGTTCATCTGTTGGGGTCCCCGGCTCTGAAGCAGCAAAGTCCAGGTGGTAAGCCTTGGAACATGAGGGTCTGGATATCTTTGAACCTAGCCACTCTAGGGAGAATTCGGCAACCCCAGGCGCAAAACCCAAAAACCGAAAAAGGCCCGGAATCCTATCGAAACCCTAAACCCTAAACCCTAAACCACCCGACGGCGAAACGCCTTGTGTCAGAGGTGCGCGCAGAGGCTGTGCGAGCGCATTGCTGCCAGGCCGCTGGTTTAGGGTTTAGGGTTTAGGCTCCAAATTTTTGTCCTCTCTCTTTCTGTGCTTTTCTCCCTGTGTTTCTCTCTGTCTTCTTGTCTCTTCCACCTCTCTCTCTCTGTGTCTTTCTCTCCCTCTTTCTCTCCTTCCCCTCCTTTCTCTGCTGTCTCTCTCCTCTCTCTCTCTCTCTCTCTCTCTCTCACTCTCAATCTCTCTCTCTCCCTCTCTGTCTGTCTCCCCTCACTGTTTTGTGCCTTGATGATTCGGGGGTCCAGTGCTCTGGGTTTTGGGGCTGAAACCAGGCCTCCCGAGAGGGGCAGAGTCGAAATTCATGCGCTACCACCCTCAACTGTTGCGGGAACCCTTAATTTGGGTTTAGGGTTTAGGGTTTAGGGTTTAGGGTTGAGGGTTTAGGGTTTAGGGTTTAGGGCTGAGGGTTTAGGGTTTAGGGTTTAGGGGGTTGAACTCAGAGATTCCAAAAGGTTTTAGGGTGTAGTATAGGGGCCTGCAAAATTAGAATAGGGTTTTGGGGTATAGTATACTAGAATTATCATAAGGAACTACCAAAATAG